ACTGCTCCCTCTGAGCTGCTCAGGCTGGGAGCTGCTGGAGCATTGGTGTCCCTGGGGTGCTGCTACACAGGACCCTGATCCTTGCTGTTTGTTTGGGATGCTGACCCTGTGGGCAGGGTGGGAGGGTGCAGGATGCTGAAGCTTTCTGGGTGGTGCTGGGGGGCTGGAAGGTGCCCCCTGCTGAAGCCTTTCTGGGTGGTGCTTACCCTGGGGGGGGCTGGAAGGTGCCCCTTGCTGAAGCCCCTCTGTGTGGTGCTGGTGGGAGGGTGCAGGATGCTGAAGCCCCTCTGTGTGGTGCTGGGGGGAGGGTGCAGGATGCTGAAGCCCCTCTGTGTGTGAAGCTGCCCCCTTGCTGAAGCCCCTGTGTGTGTGATGCTCACCCTGGAGGGGGCTGGAAGCTGCCCCCTTGCTGAAGCCCCTCTGTGTGGTGCTGGGGGGAGGGTGCAGGATGCTGAAGCCCCTCTGTGTGGTGCTGGGGGGCTGGAAGGTGCCCCTTGCTGAAGCCCCTCTGTGTGTGAAGCTGCCCCCTTGCTGAAGCCCCCCTGTGTGGTGCTGGGGGGCTGGAAGGTGCCCCTTGCTGAAGCCCCTCTGTGTGTGAAGCTGCCCCTTGCTGAAGCCCCTCTGTGGTGCTGGGGGGCTGGAAGGTGCCCCTTGCTGAAGCCCCTCTGTGTGGTGCTGGGGGGCTGGAAGGTGCCCCTTGCTGAAGCCCCTCTCCGCGCAGGTGTACGTGCGGCTAAGGCCGTTCTTCCGCGAGTTCCTGGAGCGCATGTCCCAGATCTACGAGGTAAGGCTGGCACACTGCAGCTCTCCCTTTGGCACTTCTCAACTGTCAGACCCTTCTTCCCCACACTTAACACCAATCTATCAGATCAAACCCTTTTATAACCCAAAAATAAAACAACTAAAAACATTTTTTAAACTTTCGTTCTATTCTTAATCTCATATAAAAAGTGAAATAATACAAATGTTATAATTCACACCATTACAATCACAAACCAACTATTTCCTAATTACAATACACTATACACATTTCTTAACCTATCAACTTTACCCATGCCATGTTATGAATACCTTTGAACGAATAATCTAAAATTACCCCTCACTCATGAATCTTGCTACAATAGATCTTTCATAATTCTGTTTCTCCAAAATATCTGATCTTATTTACAAAACCACCTTTTGAAACTTATTTCTGTTTCCATTTCTCTCTCAACAATATCTATCTTATTCCATAACATTTCTGTCAACATTTCTTATCTCAGTTTACATACAAATACACGCTATAAGAACATTCTATCAAACTTTAAAATTTTTCTACAAATTCATTTCCCACAACCACCTTTGAATTTCATTTTTAAAGTGTATCCACTTCCTTGTGCCTCCAGTGGTGACTTTTTTCCCCTCCAATCCCCAGATTATTCTGTTTACTGCTTCTAAGAAGGTGTATGCAGACAAGTTGTTGAACATCCTGGACCCCAAAAAGCAGCTGGTCAGGTAAAACCAGAATAATGTTGTGAACAACGAGTCCTGTGCCTGCCCACTTACTGCAGTGTCTCTCTGATTGTTCCCTTGGGGTTTGCCTGGGCTAAGAGAGGGGGAAAAATGGACTGAAGTGATGGAATTGGTGCCTTGTGCTAAAATACCCCCAGGCCAAAACCTGTCCCTGCTCAGTCTCTGTTAGGCTGGCTCGTGGGAAATGTCCTCTTGGGGATCAAAACTGTGCTCTGGAATACCCACTGCAAATAAAGGAAATTAAATGAGTGCCTGATTGCTTATAAACTTAATAACTTGAGTTGTTTATTATAAATTGTGACTTGTATAGCTTTTACAGTCAGCATCCTTTTCATTCTCATTCAATCACAAAATCATTTGTCGACTGGTTTTGTATTGGAGCTGTTTGGTGTTTCATTTCTCAGTAGTGATCTTTGTTGGGAAGTGTTTGGCTTTTACTGGATAGGCAGAAGGAAATTCCAAGGGTGAGATTCTGTCACTGTCACCTGGCAGGGGGACTGTACCTGTCAATGGACCCAAACTGATTTTCTGCTCAGGGCTTTCCCTGTGTGGGGAGTCCATGCCAGGGNGTTAGGAAGCGTTGCCTCTCGACTGCATTACCACGCCACAGGCTCGGACTGGTTTTGTGTAAAAGATGTCACAGAACGGCACTTTTTCTAAAGAGAAGTTTGCTATTTTGTATGCTTGATAAGAAAGTACAGTATTGGAAATTAAAGGTGGACAGCTGATAATTGAGAAGTATGTCAATTAATTTTTTATGTATATTACCTGTTTACTTGTACAATTTTATTGTACAAATTACATGCAGCTTCATTTTCAAATGAGTCCTTAAAATAAGGAAAATCTTTTTAGCAAAACATTTAATTTTTGTATTTTTGATTTTAAAAGGCATGAGTTATGTCAACTTTTTCCAGTGTATTAATGAAGATTTTAACTTTTCATCAGGTTGAGTGTTTTCTTACTATATTATCTGTTGTGTATGTAGCTAGCACATGGTGTCACTGAGCTGTTAAAACTTAGCATGTAGAGCAAGCCTGTTTTGTGGAAAATCCTTATTCATTAAAAACAAAATCATCATGGCAGATTTTCTGCAAAAAAAGTGAAAACATTTGCAATTCAGAATACTGATTTTTTTTGTATTTAAAGAAAGGTATTTTGCTTGCAGGAAAGAAATACTACAGATTCATTTTAATGAGAATCTTTTAAATGTATTTATCTTTAGGGCATCTGGGCATCTTTACGCTGTTTGTCTTATGTCTTTATTGAAATAAAATGTACAGAACATTACCTTTACATCTGCTTGGTGCAGCCGTGTCCCCTGGGCAGCTGATGGAGAGATGGATGGATGGACTCTGGAAGGCAGGGGCAGCTTGTGTGCAGCTGCCCCTTGCTTTGCAGCTGTTTCTCCCTCGTTCCTTGCCATGTAAATCTCACTCTGAGGGGTTTCAGTTCCCTGGTGAAGCTTTGCCTAACGGGGGATTCCTCCCAGGTTCTCCACATCACAGAAGTGCTGTGAAATTCACGGATNGGGCAGGCCAATGGCACGAGCAGCAGGCAGGGAGCCTGCAGGGGGGTTCCTGTGCTGCCTGGCTCTGTCTGGGGCACTGGGGCTGCGCTCACTGGGCCCAGCTCTGCCCCCAGCCCCAGTGCCTGCCAGGCCCCACACGTGTGACTCACACTCTATATATAAATGCAGCAGCTCCTTCCCCTCCATGGCAACGTGGGCAGCTCAACTCCTGCATGGAATCAGGCACACTGTGTGCAGCTCCTGAGCATCATTTAAACATGCAGCAGCCTGGAGGGGCTGCTCTGCAGTGGGGCAGCACCAAATCTGCCTACTTTGCAATTGATGGTTCTGTGGGTATGCCATGGCATGGGAGTTTTATTCCTGCTGGGTTTTCAGTCTGAGTCCTCTTAGGCAATCCATCCATTCCTTCTGGCATGAATCTCACAGGAGCAGGCTGATGGCAAAGGAAGGAGGTGATGGGATGTCTTGGCCCTAATGGGAAAGGAACTAACCGGAACTGGGTTAGTGCAAAATCACCTGAACTGGGCATTTTACCAATAACAAGCTCTAAAGAACAGAAAAGGGGCACAGTTCTCTAACAGGAGATGGAAAGAGAAAAAAGCTGGATAATGCTTGGCAAAGCTGCATGTTGCTGGTGCAGTGTGGATGCTGTCTTTGGCCTCATTACTGAGTACTTTCCTTTAACGACAGGCATCGACTCTTCCGTGAGCATTGTGTGTGTGTACAAGGGAATTACATCAAGGATTTGAACATCCTGGGCAGAGACCTCTCCAAAACCATCATCATTGACAATTCACCGCAAGCCTTTGCTTACCAGGTGAGGGGCTGGGCCAGGGGACACCTCAGGGGCACAGGGAAGTGTAAGTCTGGGCCTTGGTATTGAGGTCTGCCAACCAAACTGTGGGGAAAACACTCAGGAATGTGTAACTTGGAAACATTCTTCCCCCAAATGCTATTTCACAAGTCTTATTTGTAGATAAATTAAACATAATGATTTTTAATAATAAATTAAACATTGATGATTTTTTTTTCATATTTTAACTTTAGCTTTCCAATGGAATTCCTATAGAAAGCTGGTTCATGGATAAAAATGATAATGAACTCCTAAAGTTGATTCCATTTCTGGAGAAACTAGTAGAGCTGGTAAGTGTTTGCTTTCTTGGCTTTTCCCAGAACTGTCAGTGAGTTCCTTTAATATTTTCACCTATTGTTAAGGGTTTCTGAGTCACTGAGGTTGAGACTGGTGAAGATCCAGGGACGTGTTCACACACCAGAGAGGGGGCTTGTCACTGCTGACTGTGCTGAAAATGCAGGGCTGTGGGATTGTGACATCAGCCATCAGGAAATTGGGAACCTCTGAGCATTTGGATGCCACAG